GACGGGTTGGTCTGCCCAGGCTTTAGGTGTCTGAAAGATGCCCTCTCCTTGGTCTATACTTTCGGGGCATATGGCCTTTTCCTCCGGTGCGTCTAAACCGGCAGTTCGGCTGGTGTGTTCCCTCACTAAAGGACCTGATCACTTGGTTCACCAATCTCGGGCCCCGGTTCAAATTCAGCCTTCATATAGTACTGTCAAAGATCACTGCTACCTCCCAACTCAGGACTTCCCAAACGGGCTTCGATCTCCGAACCTGTGACCCGTGCTATGCACAGCCCACAGATTACAGCCTTCTGGAATCACTTCAACAGTGCTACCAGACACCGTCTCGACAGATTCTCCATGGGCCAACCTTAGTAAAGATTGTCGCAGACTTTTCCCATATTACAAAAGCGCCGTCCCTGGGATTTGAATATGGGATCTTCTCATAACGTTTGGTGAAGGTGACAACTAGACCACTTTACTAAGTCGCCACACCTCTAAAATACAATTATATTACTGTAATGTAATAATATTAATACCAACAGTTCAATAGCACCCAAATTACTTTATAAAGTTTCAGAATTAACTATAGGATCAATACTATTTAATGCATTTAGATAATAACTGTTGTTTGTAACCTTTTGTCTATTAAAAATATCATTCATGCTATTATTCAATCCATCAAATATATTATTCAAAGTATTAAAGATATTGTTATAATCATTATCATTAAAAGTATTTAGATTGCTGAATTGTTCTTCATTGTTGTTACTGGACCACACACCATTATTATTACTAGTCTGAATAATTTCATCATCACTATAATGTATTTTGTTGCTAGAATATATTATTTACTTATGTCGTTTTAAGTATTATTATGAAAGTTCATAGAAAGGGTTTATACGAATATTATAAAAAAAAAATCACAAGAGTATCATTTTATTACCAACAAATCTAAACCACCTAAAATCTAAATCTCCAACTTTCAACAGCCAATCTCAACTCAACACCTAAACACCTAACCTCTAAAAAAAGAAGTTATTTAATTAGAATACTTTTTGTTTAATACAATATACATTAAAATTCAAAAAATTATCATTTACCTAACTCCTTAGCTTAAGAAAGCAATTTTTTCGCTTCTGCAATATGGTATATACACATATATATACAATAGTATGTTATAGTTACATAATAGTATGTATATTAGAGTTACATAGAAGCTTTCGTGGGTTTAAAAATAAAAAAATTTTGATGGTCACATTATAGCAGCCACTTCAGATGATTTTACTTCATCATGTACATAGTACGTATGTACATATGTATATACAACTTAGATATGTATATATCAATATATTGTTATGTGGGTTGTTATGTGGTTTGTCACATGATAGTGCATTGTCACCGTATCACTATCAGTGACAAGTAGATTTTTTCAAAATTTAAATAAATAGTGACAGAAAAAGAAAATATATAAATTATTTACTCATTTCACAGTGAATTCTATTTCTAAGGACTTCTTAGAAGTAAAATTCACTGTGAAATGAGTAAAATAATTTATATGTTTTCTTTTCCTGTTACTTAAATAAATAAATAAAATTAACAATAGTATTTTTTTTTACTCAAATTTACAGGTAGACAACTTGATAGTGAAGTGCACTTTCTTTAGAGATTGTACTTTATGATATAAATTTTTCAGTCTTTCTTAATGATTTAAAAATAGACAGAATGAGCTCACAATTGTGCTAGCAATATATTAGAGAAATTATAAAAACAACACATAGTAACAATATTTTTAATATCCAGCCTAATTTGTGGATAATATGTTCATTAACAAATGATGATATTGAGTATTCTGTAAGAAAGAAGAATTTTACAAACAATGATAATAATAACTTTAGTGCTGCCTCTTATATTTGCAATTGTTATAATTTTCAATCACAACAATTGCCATATAAGCATGTGTTTGCTATATTAGCAAACAATCATATTTACAATAAGAACATAACAAATGAGCAACAAATAGTAAAATCTGATTGTTTTAATGCAGATCAAACAAATAATGATAATAAGGAAGTTTGATTTGCTAAACTGCAAGAAAATCTTGCTGCAATTGTTAATAAATAGAAAAATATAAAAGGTGAAAACATTTATAATCTTAGAATAGCTCTTTAGCAAGCTACCCAAATAGAAAGATCAAGAATCGCAAGGTTAGAATCTGTTGCTCAAATTACTAATAACAATAACCAATTTATAATATAGTGTCAAATACAAAAATTATAAAACAAAATAAGTATTAATTTATTTTTTTATTTATTTTTTGTTGTATAGATATGCACATATATATTTAAGCAACGATTTGTAGAAATTTTTTTTATAAAGTAGATATGGGTATAATAGCACAGTTAACTTTAGTTATAATAAAACTTTAAATAAATAGTATAAAATTCACAAAAATTTGTTTAAAATAAATAGTTTGACTTTTGAAATAATGATTTATTTGAAAATTAAAAATTTTTAGTAATAAAAAAAAAAATTTACTAAGATCAATTAAATCTCCTTTGAAATTTATAATTTTAGACAATTTACTAAAAATAGCGCACTATGTATAACAATCATGTATAAAGCTAATTTTTTTTCCCCTCTCTAATACGTCATTTTTCCTCTCTAGAACATTCTAATTCTTCCTTTTTTTGTTCTCTAGCAATTCGTTTTTGCATAGCAGCCTCTTTTTTTTGCTTGATCTCATTAACTTTTCTTTTAGCTTCCTTTTCTGCATCTTTTAATAATTTTAAGGACGTTTCATTTGTAAGAAGTTGGGAAAACAGTATAGTTTTCTTTTTTTTTCTTTTTTGCACACTTGCTTCAGGCTGATTTGCAGCTTGATCTGAATTTTTAACTGATCATAGAGTATAAGAAAGAGGGTACTTAAACACTTAATTCAAAGAGCAGGTACCAGGGTTTTTAAAAGTTCTCAACTCTTCTTTTGCCCTTTTAACTCTACTTCTAACTGCTCAATATTAAGATTAAGTGATTCAACTTTAGCTTTTAATAATCTTTTTTTAGAAGTAAGGGTAGGACTTGGATCTAGGTTTGAAGATTGTAGAGGTAATGAAGTTAATGTAGAAGGATGCAAAAATGAAGTTGGTGTTGGTGTAGAAGGTTGCCTTGGTGAAATGTCAAACTGTTTTGTTGCCAAAAAAGGCTTGAGATAGTTAGAGCTAATCATATTTGGGTTAAACGGCCAGATTCTAGTTGCTTTGAATGCATTGCAAATAGTTATAGGTATGTAAGGTTTATTATAAGCTTTACCAAAAACTTTAGCAAATATATATTTGGTAACTAATTCTTTATTATTATTCAAGAGTAGCTGTTCACAACCTTTACTATAAGCTGTTTTAAGATAAGCAAAGGGAAGTTCTGCGAGTTGAAGTATATGGGTTGTATGGGGTAGGAGTACATACAAAAAAATATTGTTGTTGAAGCAGAGGTTTATACAAGTATAGCTAACATGACTTTTATAACTGTCAAGAATTAATAAAACAGGGCAAATGAGTGAAAATGAACGAATGAAATGCTCGATATATTTTTGAAAAAGGCATTCTTTCATATATCCGGTATCTGTGAATTACATAACAGAACCTGGAGATGTATCATTTAAAAGACCAGAAATCATGTGCTTTCCTTTGTAGTTAATTAATAGTAGTATACATGTCTTAGCTGCTAAGATTGTTAGACACACTGAAATATGTTCTTGTGAGTTTCTATGTGAAACTTAATGAACTTGATAAGCACCCACCCTTCTTTGCAATTACTTTTTGAAGAGTTTGATTAATAATGAAGATGTCTCATTCTAAATATAGTGAAGAGAAAAAATAAAAAAAAAGTAAATAATAAGTTAATATAAAAAAAAATAAATAAAAAAAAAAAATAAATAAAAAAATAGACCATGTTCCAAATTTGATCTGAAGTAAGTAAATGATTTTTGATTATTTTCTCAAGTTTTTAGAAGTGATTCTTAATAATAATGGGGTTGGCTCTTTGGGCTTGTGCTTTGTTTAAGGCTTGTAAAACATGAAATAAAAGCTCCAAGTAATCTCTTATAAATCACTCTTACCATAATTGACCTGATTCACTTTCTTTAAAGGAGTGAGATCTCTTACTTTGGTAAACAATATTCATTACACATTGATTTATTCCTGATCTTGTTAACCCAAACCCAAGCCTCTGTATATTCAAACAATAACTAACAAGTTGTTGTTCTTCATGGTCAGCCAATACTTTTCAGGGCCTGGGTGACCAGGGGGCTACTATTTTTAATGACATGTCTTAAAGTAGTTTTTGGGATACTATACTTGTTTGCAATACTTCTGTGACTTGGTGGCTTAGGATTGGTTTGAGAATCTTCGAGTGTTTTAAGGGCATTTATAATTGCATTGTGTTTTACAGATTAGATAGATCACTTAGTGGTAATATTTTTTTTTCACTAAGTGTACAGGTTTAAGAATATTAGTCTATTTATAAAAGCTATTGTTATTTTATTTGAATATGCAAACAGGTATAGTTTAATCTATTTTAATGTATAACTTTTATTTACTTAAGACTGAACTAGTCCAAACTCGCAAAGTCTTAAGACTAAAAACCAGGCTAGAATTAACTAGACTGAACCAAACCAGACTGTTAATATCTCTACTTATATTCTTTTATTATTATAGCTTTTCATATTTGAGCAAATAATAGCCATGCACCTTATATCAAAATAACATGTATTGATATTATTTATACAAATATGGTGTGCTATTAAACTATAAAATTCAAGAGCAGTTGATCAAAATTCAAGCTTTGAAGTTAAATTTAAGGTCACTATAAAGTCTTTGTTATTTAACTAACTCCCACACCTTATACCAAATCCATAAATATTTACTATCTCTTTAAATTTTTATTTTGTTTCTCATTCTCTTGACAACCCCAAATTAAAATATTGGAATAAATATTTGTTACTTATTCAAATAAATTTTTTTTTAATGTGAATGTAATTAATGTATTGAAAAATATTGTTCATAATATACTCGAGCTTATAGAGATTTTGAGTAATTTTCAATTAGCTAAAATTTCATTGTACAATGCTGCACCAAAATAGAATTTTTAGTATATTGCTAATATTAATTTGTAAACTATTATTTATATCTTTCCAAACTTCGATATTTTATGAAGTTTGATTTAAAAACAATTTTATTTTATATAAGCTTTAGTTTATTTAACAAATAATCCCAATTTAAAATTATACTTGTTAGTATTTGTTAAGGCTTCTGCTAAAAGAATCTTAAAAAAACATTAAAGTAGCAATATCTTGTGATTCAATAATCAGAAACAGGTAATTTTGTTACCATTTGATTTGTCTTGATGAGATGAATCAAATAGTACCAAAATCACCTAATACTAATTACTAGGTTACAAAATATAGCAGATGTGCTACAATATCCATATGTGCCACAATACTCATATCTACTTTATTTTATAACTTTCAACTAATATATATATGACTCTAAGTATTTTGGCTTATTGATATAATAGAAAAAGTATTGGTATATGTAATCTGCAGTGGAAATAAAAGAAATTATTGATATAATATAATCTGAGCTTAAATAATAGCAATAGTGATAGTGGTAGTAGTCGTACCCTAGGGTAGTGTTATTAATAGACATAAATTGTCCATGAACATAGGCGTCCATGGACATGAACATATAAAAATATGGATGACTATATCTATGAACATATAAAAATATAAATATGTCTATAGATATAGGCATTGGACATTGTGTCCAAAGACTGTCTATGTCTAATAATTTGCTTGAATATATGTCTATATACAACACTGCCCTAGGGTATAATAACCAGTTAACTGTTAGATTATCTGAATATCCAAGTTATAAAATTGGGTAACAGGTTAATAATTAAGATATCTAGTTAATCTATCTGGTTAACCTAAGGTATAATAATAATAATAATATAAATAAAAAATTATATATATATAACAAAAAAAACCTGAATTTTAACTATATAAATACAAATTAACTGATCAGTTTTTAATTGTAATTAATATACAAGCCAATTAAGTATTTTGTATTTTTAGTTGCAATCTACTAATCTACTACAATTATAGTATTATATAGTGTATACAAATAAAAATATTTTATTTTATAGCAAGTTTTCACTAACTTACAATTCAGGTTTAACCCTGTTTTATAATAATACCTTGCATATATTATTATATATATATATATTGGGAAGATCTTTGTATTAACTAATATAGTATTTCATTAAATTACTATATTTATATATAATTATAATATGGAATATTGGTACATATAAACTAAAAATTTTCACATACATTCAAATTTGCACATACATGGATAGTCGATAAAACATGTGGGTTAAAAATCTAAGAATTTATAATAAGATTGCTCAAGGCTTATTATAGATTTGTTAAACTTTATATAGCTAAAGTTTTAGCCAAAAATAATCAATTGTAGTTTTTTAAAGATCAAGTTTTATGTAATAAAAATTTAAGGCTTTAATATAGTGTATTTGCATACAATTTATAATAGTTTATTTATCTTTAATAGTCATAGTGTAGCTCTAGCCACTACTAGCAACTATATAGTTATTTTTAATAAGTATAGCAATTTTAAAGACTAGTAAAACTTAAGAGAAAAAATCAATTTGACTATATTGCTTTACTATGAAATATGATTCTTTTTCTTTATTAAAAATAAACTAATTTTATGCATTTTGATTGATATAAAAAAACATTTTTTTGAATCTACTTATTACAGTACATTAGAAGCATTACAGTATCATGTTAGCCTCGTGTTAACATATATGCTACTTTATATAGTAGGCTTTAACAATTATGATACTAATTTAGTTAGATTCCCAATTATATGATATGAGAAAAAAAATCAATTCATTATGTAATATATATGTAGTTTTGTTATTTTATTTGTATTTGAATAATTATTCCAAAAGAAATTATAGCATTAAAAAACTTGAATTTTAATATGTAAAATTTTTTCTTGCTGATCTTTATATAATTATTACATATTGAAAAATTAAACTCAAAATTTGTATGTAATAAAGTAAATTTTAAAATATAAATACAGTAATAAGATTACTAACAAATATTGTTTGAAAATAATCAAATACTATTTTTTTAAAGTAATCCTACATAAAATGCTTAGTGAAAATTCTAGTGAAGAAGAAACACTACTTCTAAAAAATACAAAAAACAAAAAAAAATATCTAATATAGATACATCAAACTTAGAGTCATCTCAATCTGAAGAACTTATTTTAGAAGAATACAATATATTAGTTAATGATATACCAAACAAATACAATAATTTAGTTGATAATATATCTGATAATTATGATAACCCAATTAATAAAAATAATATACCTTGTTCAATTTTACAAAATAAACCTAATAATGATCCAAAAGCAATAAATTTAATTGATAATCCATTTGTCATCTGGAGGGAATCTGCAAAATTTTACATATAAAATTTACTATTGGCCCAAATGTGGCATGCACGCATCTAAAACTTTTTTATACTAAGTTAATCACTTTTCTAACTTAAGAGACTTTTGTAGAGCTTGTCAAGGCGCATCTAATGGTGGTT